CGCACCCTACCAACCACCATTCCATTATTGTAGTCGTCATAGCTACCAACCCACCCTGACCACTCTAACCCCTGAACCACCCCTTTCTCACCCCCACCCTGACGGACCCCCAAACCGTACTCATGCCCTCACTATGCCCCGTCCTCGCCCTACCCCCTTCGCACCCACATGGATGGGTAGTGACGGCTGGGGGATTACTTGTGACGACGACAGTAGTGGCATGGTGGTCGGTAGGGTCTGGTCGGTGGTTGGGATAGTAGTTGTGATGGCAACAGTAATGGCATGGTGGTCGGTATGGTGAGTAGCGAAGGGTTGTCCAGGGCATGGGAGGTGGTAGCTGTGATGACAACAATAGTGGCATAATGTTCGATAAAAGTGGGGTGGGGGCGGATGTTAGGGTAGGGTGCGTGGGGGTGAGTGGCGGCGAGTGGACGGGGTAGGGTGGTAGTTATGCCAACGACAATAATGGCATGGTGGTCAATGTGTGTGGGGAGGTGGGAGGTAGACGGGGGTGGAGATGAAATGGGTGGGTGTGACGATCACAGTAGTGGCATAGTGGTAGGTTGGGGTCAGTGGCGATTGTGATAGTGGCAGCAGTTGCATATTGTAACATGGATGTGGTGTAGGTGACGGGGGATGGGGTGGGTGGCGGTTGTGATGACAACAATAGTGGTATGGTGGTGGGGGGTAGCCGGTAAGAGCGAGGCATGATGGTAACATTAGTAGCATGGTCGTGGTGGGGGCAAGGGATGAGCAATGATGAAATTCAAATCCTTCACTTAACAAATGATCAATTCTAATATTTGTGGAATTCAAAGGAACTTAAAGGATTCCATCCATTTCAATATGTGAACGAAACAAATGAATTGGATTTCTAGTAAAAGGAATTGATCATCCCAATTCCTTTGATTCTGTAAACCAAACGACACCTAAGTGCGGCTATTAATTGATTTCATTATTTCTTTGTTCGTATTTAATATTTCTATAAAAGGCATTTTAACTTGTATCTTTGGTAATTGATTGCTCCCGACAATGGGTTTCACCTATACGTTGACAATTCAATCGTAAAAAAGAGTAACAAATCATAAGAACAAAACCGATCAAAACCAAATCAAACAAACCAGTAAATCATACACAATGTCAGGTCCAGAACAGATAAAATGTATGCAACCTTTCTCAGCCTCAAAACTAACAAATCATACAAAATTACGAAATAATCCTTCACAACGATACAAGTTAAAACGCCTTTTTCTTCAACATCTTTATTGCAAACTAAAAAACAACCCATAAAAGTTCTGCATTCAAAAAACCATACTTCTAACTTCAAAATTCATCCCATGGCTTTGCAAATGGGAACAATTGTTGCTTTAAAACCCCCTTCATCACAGGCTGGTGTTGCAAAGAAACTGCAAAACATCTTAAACTAAACAATGAGGATGGTTTTTTTTGCGATACAAAATGAGCAGATAACTCGTTAAAGAATTAAAAACTAAAAGTCGACTTGGTTTAGTGACAACTTTTGGAATGGAATGGTTACGACTGATCTTACAAGATGGATAGAGTTTGTATCGACTTAAAGCCCGAGCTTCAAAAGAAGCTCACGCCATCTTGGAGTTTCTTCATCGAAAATGTAGGTCAAAGGAGACACCAGAACTCCGCTACCTCCAATCTGCACAATTATAAAGACGATACGAGATGCATTTAATGCCTAAAATATTGAGGAGCAAGTATATGGATATAGCGTGTGTTTGGTATACAGATAGGACTGGACTAGAGGTAGGCCGGTGAACAATTGTAGAAGGTTTTAGGGTTTTAATTTGACATGGATAGTTTAGTCATTTACCTATCTTGTCTCATCTCCTTGAACTTTGTTCCATCTATTTTTTGGTAAAACAAAAAATAGCATTTATCCACACTCATCCTGTCACATCTCAGTGTAACGTCGGGCAGAAACATGGGACAACAAGTTTCTGTTCTGTTTTGTCCCATCTGGTACAGCGTATCAAAAACACTCAGAAAAAACTTAGTATACAGGTTGATGTCAACCCGTCTGGGACAAAATTCACTTTTCTGTGTTTGCGAAATTTGAAGCTTATTCTTTTACGCAAACGCAACTGAGTGAACCGTGGTAACTGGAACAAGCTAGGACCACTTTCCTCCATTCTATATCATAGGTGGATCTAGTCTTTATTTCTCATACCGTTCCACATAAATGGAACCCACGAAATGAAAATGCAATGTCTAAAAAAAATGAGCCTAGACTCTTCAGACTGTGTATGCTAATCGAGGTAGCAATCGAATGGTTAAGACCCATGAACGCGAGAGTAGAGGCTTTACTGTATAAAAATTGAAAAAACCACTTCTTCCCCAACACCAACAGGAAACAGAGTCCAAGACCCTCTTTTCGAATATTCATGCAAATTTTGAGTCTTGAACAGCTTACCGAAGTTTTCTTGTAATTTAATTCTTGTACCATTATAAGCTTTCAATAAGTTCAGAATTTTTTTAAGTTTACAATCCTCTTTGCAACTCTTAGGCATTGTTTGGCAAAAATAAGCTAGCTTATTTTCTGGGTACATTTTGGATGCACATAAGCTAGTTTATTGAAACATTACCTGGAGTAGCATTTTGGTAGCTTATCATCACCTTTTCCAATTATAACCCTCATTAATATTAAATTATTATTTATTACAATCAACTTTAAATAAATTTTAATA